TTGATTAAAAGTTCAGACAGAGACATCAAGTCTGGGTTAAGTTTAAGCTCATCAAAAGTTTAGACTCAACAGTCACTAATTGTGTGTTCCTCATTTTATGGGTGCCCCCCTTGAGACCATGCATGTCTGATTTGCAGAAGTGCTGAGCACGCACTGCTGTAAACTGAAGTAAGTGGGAGCTGTGCTGCACAAGCATAAGTACTCTGAAAAAAACAGGACGTGGATATCTCAAGTTGGGCACCCAGAATCAGTGGATGCTTTTGATAATTTTGACCATAGTGTCTCTGGTTCTCCATGCGTAAAATGGAGATAATAACACTTCCCTACCTCCCAGGTGTTGTCAGCTGTTGGCTGTGTGTTTTCTCTCTGTGTGTTGCACCAGCTCTGCACAGATAGCTGACGCAGCAGGTCTCAATCAAACTGCCCAAGAAGACCACAGACTTGGTTCAGTGGTGAAGGAGCTTGGCCAGGTTTATTGCTGACAAAGCACAGTACTAGCTCCTCAGATCAATGTCTACAGTTACACTGGCACATCTATGCCCCTTACAATGGAATTGGCTCAGTGAGTGGTGAGACTTTCCACTCCCCCACCTGCCGAGGCCAGAAAAAGACACCCCCTCTGTAACCTGTTTTTTATACTCTGATACAAAAAAGTTACGTTTTGCTCCTTTGACGTGGTTAATTATCACCCTTTCCCTTGTACATTTTGGTTGGATTAAAACATCTCTATCCATCCCCCTATCATCCTGACCTTATCTTTAGGAGGGGTTAGTGTGTCCCTGTATCATCACTGGGGAGTGTGTTTACATCATAACCCTATATCAAGGTGTTCTGGTATTACCCTTCTGGAATGTGTTTATGCATGTGCCAGTGTCTAGCACTTCTCATGAGTGTTTGTGTTTTTGCAACACCAACCATGCCTTTGCCAGATTCATGTTCTGGACAATGAACCAGCAAGTATAGTCATAAAAGTGACTAATGAAGGCTTCACAGGCAAGTACAAGTCTTGCATTCTGAATGTTTGAGTGTTTCACTTTGCAAACTTTAACTTTCTTTTTGATTCATAGCTGTATAGATTTTAAGGCCAGAAGGGAGCTTTAGATCTAGTCTGACCTCCTGGGTAACAAAGGCTATAGAATTTAAACCAATTACTCCTGTACTTCATCTAACCTTGTGTTTGGCTAAAGCATATCTTCCAGAAAGGCATCCAATTTAGTTCTGAATACTTCAGAAGGTGGAGAATCTTCTGCTTCCCTTTGTAGTTTGTTCCAATGTTTCATCAGTATTACTGTGAAAAATGTATGCCTTACCTGTAACTGCCTTTAACTTCCATCCACTGGTTCTTGTTATGCCTTTCTCCACTAGATTAAGAAGGCCTTTAGTATGCAGTGTTTTGTCCATACGAAGATACTTATACACTACAATCAAGACACTTCTAGGTCAACTTTTTGATAAGCTAAACAGACTGACCTCCTTAAATCTCTCACTGCAGGGCACATTTTCAAGCCCTGGAATCATTATTCTCTGCGCCCTTTCCAATTTTTTAACATCCTTCTTACAATGTGGACACTAAAAGCAGATGTAGTATCTGTCTCCCCCGTGCTGCACACAGAGCAAAAATCACCTCCCTACTAGAGCAGGTTGGAAATTATCTGGCAAACTAGAGTTTCATTGGAAAATAACAGTTTGTTGAACTCAACATTTATCATGAAAGTGAATCTGGTTCAACGAACTTTCTCGAAACCGCAAGCAGGGTCTGGTGGAAATGTCCCTGGTTCCCTGCCAGGTTCCCTGGTGGCTGCATCAGGGATTCTGGAAGTCCTGGGATGGGTTCCAGTGTCCCAGGGTCTGTGGCTCTGGGGCAGCCCTGCCTTGCAGAATGTCCTGGACTGGGCTTTTTGCCTGTTTAGGCTGCCAGCTGGCCAAGGAGTCTGGAAGCCCGGGGG